AGAGAGAGAGAGAGAGAGAGAGAGAGAGAGAGAGAAAGAAAGAAAGCTGTTTCCTTCTTTCAAATATTGTACCGAAATCATGTATCATTTCTTGCGTTTTCAGGGTTTAGAAATTTAATTTCTAAAAATATATTAAATTAAGAAACTGTAAATTCGTTTTAAAAAATCTAAATTTTGGGCTTTATACATCGGAACAGCAAACACTCTGCTCTGCTTCCGCAAGCTGTTCAACTGTTTTAACCCCACAAGCAACATTTTGCAGGAGAGACGAAAAAAACCCCCAAAACTGTTTCGTTCTTCTAAGAATTGTACAAAAATTATGTATCTTTTTTGCATTTTTCAACATGAAGAACTTGAACTTCAAATAAATATTTCTGCAGCACGTGCAACCGATACCACACATGAAGAAAGACAGCAATAATTAAAAAAAATATTGACTAAATTCTCGGCTTATAGGTCATCTGAACAGCGAACACCCACTGGCGTCTGTGGAGTAGCGGTTAGGCGCCTCGCTGTCGCACACAGGAGACCAGAGTTCGATTCCCGATGGAGACACATTTTATTCTACGAGTATCCCGGTCTTTCTTCTAGAAATGTGTATCCCTCTCCGCCCGGAACTGCCCTGACAGACAGGGTCAGAAGCCCACGACCTTCTAAATGATCTAAATTGTGTGGATGGAGACGTAAAATCACCTCGGTCTACGTTAAAAAAAGAAATAGCGAGCACCCTGGTATGATTTACAGCGGACAGGTTTGATATCTCCCTCTCTCTGTGGCCCTGGGCAAATGCGCGTGGAGTACATCGGAATGTTGGAAAATGAAGATTTTGTAGGCACGCGCGTGGGTGTTTTTGCTTCAGGGTTCTAGTTCTAGATCTAGTTTCTTTCGGTTTAAAAAAAAATTTCTCTCAGTCTTATCCTGTCGATATGTCTGTGTTCTTTTGAAAGTTGGAAGTTTTTTGAGAGGTTGGGGGAGACTGCCGGATGGGGGTGGGGATGATGGTGGGGTGTGAAAAGCACTTTGGGAGAAAAGACAGACACGTACACACGCGTTCACGCGCACACACACTCCAACACACACATACACACACACACACACACACACACACACACACACAAGCACACACACATACATACACATACATACACATACACATACACACATACACAAACACATACACATTCATACATACTCACA